CCTAAATACTGAACCATTTTCTCTGGTGATTTCAAGTGAAAACATCAAACCTCCCCCCCCCCCCCAGAAAATAGTATTTTACATATTGATATTAGTCAGTTATTTGATCAAAAAACCACAGAAAAAAAGTAGAACTTGTCGCTTCTTTAATATCAAACTCCCTTTAAAAATAGTAGCATCAAGAGACCACACTGTGATGGGGCTACAAAAAGAAAAGTGAGAGGCTTTTAACATTTGGTTTGAACTATGTGATAACTGGTAGGGAATAAGAATGAAATCCTATTCAAGTCAGTAGTGGAAGCTTTTATGCAATGCAGGAGTCCCAAGTTGGTTTAAAGAGCTATCTTATTGTAGCCATGGTTGGCTAACTTCATGGTGATAATATTGTAGTAAAAACATGCACAAGTTTCCTGGCGATACCTGTTTGCTCACACAAATGCAAAAGACCGCAAAAATTTCCTGGGGACTCAAAGAATAATTCCTTCCCTGCTTATCAGTAATTGTCATCGGAAGCAGGGTTGGGTTGTGGCAAGAAAATTTAGTTTGGCATCTCCCCTTCCCTTCCCTCTTCTGGCCTCGCCATGCTTTACCTTCCCATGTCTAGCATAGTTATATAAATTATAATGTATTTAATAATTTACCACACCGTTCTGCAGCCTATGGGTCGCGACCCAATGTTTGGGTCGCGAAAGAGATTTGATGGGTCGCATAATCTATTCAGATAGTGAAAACTTTACAATTTAAGTGTGACTTATGCGTGCGTTATCACAGTTTCATAATAAAAATATACTATCAAAATATGTGTACTTCAGGTATGATAACTTTAATGTGTTAGTTTTTATTCATTTCAATGTGTTAGGCTTTCAGCTGCAAATTATGAGAAAACGTTTTTTAATTTAATGTGTATGTCTTCGCATAACCCATAAATCTGCAGCACTAGGAATTTATAATAAAATGACTGTAGATCATTAATTTTTCAAAATATGATAACTTGCATGGTTTTGTTAAAATAAATGAGTAATTCAAAGTTATATTTTCATTTTTATGGGTTGTACATAGTGACTTCTGGGTGATAATATCTTTTAATCAATTCACAAAATAATCAAGTGGGTGGTTCTTCCCGCTATCCCTCTGGTGTATAAAATGACGGACGTGATTTATTGACTTTTGGTTTGATGGGTTGCGCCTGAGTGCTTGACATAATTTGGGTCGTGCCCTAAAAAGGATACAGAACAGGGATTTACCAAACTGAATAGAAAATTAATATTATATTTACTGTAGTTCTGTATCATTTTTGCTGTTTTGAATCTATGTTGATTATGAGCCCTTTTGAGATGTGATGTGCAAATGCAGTGCCTTCTCAATGTATGCAGACTTCAGCTAGAAGTCTAGCTCCCTATAGGTTTATCCTCTTTTATTATACAAACTTACCAGTGCTCAAGATGCCATGTATTTGTCCCAAGCCATTACCAAATTATGGTGATGCTAACAGAGGTTTTTATCTCAATTGTTTTTATTTATTGTCATTTAGATCTTTTTTGTGTTATACTAAAATATTGTACTTTTATGTTTCCTTCAAAAATTGTGGACAGTTTAATCTATATATAATTGTTTCATTTTGATAAATTAAGTCTTGCATTTTAGCCTTGGTTTTACTTTAAAAACAGCTGTAGAAACTTTTTTTGAGCTTCACAATTGAGCTTTATGTGCATGTGTGTGACACCATTACGTTCATAAGTTGCTATGCATGCATGGTTGCTATTGGGCAATTGTTCTTCAAAAGTGAATACAGTTTTTCCTTAAGTCAGTGTTATACGAATGGTCATAATTGACTAGCTAAGACTACCTGTTGAAAACTGTTTTATACCACAATATGCAAATCTTAATTACAGTGAAATTTACTTCTAATAGAAGTCCAACCACTACTAAGTGTATCATATCACTCGCATATTTCATGTTGATGACATTTTGTAATTTGGAATAAACATTTGGTTGTGGTTCTCAATGTATTTTCTTCTTGTTCTATTTAACAATTTGTAAGTTCACTTCAGGTCTGCAAACACATAAATAACACAGTAAAAATCTTTATTGTTTTTAAAATTGTATTTATTTCCAAGTATTTGAGACCAATGGCTATACATATACATGGAGATTCCTCTCATCTTTAAACTGTGTCATCACACATATTGCTGTATGGGTTTTAACACTTACCATACTTTGCCATTTACCAAGTCTAAAAGTAATACATACAGTACTGTATCTGTAAAAGGAGGACCAAAAATAGCTAACTAATGTAATGGATGGAGCTTTGCTCATTTGCTCACTTTTCCAAGTACCGTACTCGCGCGAATAAGCGCCCGGGCGCTTAAAATATTTTTGCACTTTCTGAGGGGTGCTTATGAAAACAGAGTGGAAATTGAGGGGACGCTTATGGAAATAGATGAAAATCGAGGGATTCTTATGGGAAATTATTTTAATAATTAAAAATTCAAGAGGCACTTTTTGAATGAAAAAAAAATTTTGGTTAGGAAAAGATAATCGTTCAGAGAACATGGTTCATAACAAGAATGCGTGAATATTTACATAACAGCAAAATAGCAGATGCAATTAGTGGTGGGTAGTGGTTAGCTTGTTGGCCATCGGCCGATTGGGATGACAGGATCATTGTATTTTTCTTGAAAACTCAGATGAGAATGTGCTTAAGGTTGAAAAAATAAAAAGAGGGGTAGGACTTGACATAGACAAATATGTAAAAAGCTTAAAGTTGGAAATATACTGTCTGTCAAGGGATCGGAGCTCTCATCTGTCCAGAGATTGGAGCTCTCATCTGTCCAAGAGAAATATCCTTATTTTGATATTGACTGAATAATGTGTTTCCACCCTACAGCTCAAATCATGCCAACAACCACAGTCCAAGGATTGATTGGATTATTGACAAAATCTTATGAGGGGGCACTTATTCAAACGGGGCGCTTATTCACGCGAGTACGGTACTGTACAGTACATGCTGATGTACTTAATAAAGGCTTACACTAGAAGAATGTTATAATGAAAGACCGATAAATAATACAAACTTTATTGTCAATTATCATGGTAAATATGAACGTAAATATTAAACTTTATTTAAAAATGACACTGCCACAATAGTGGCACTCGTATGTAACAGTGATATCGTAATGAGATATCTTTGATTTCAAATTTGAATTCAATTTTCTTTTTCCTCACTTCAAAAACTTACAAGCCTGGTTCTCACGAGAGCCCCAGTATCCGGATCGGGAGCTAACTGTTAGCACCTGCGTGAGAACACGCCCGATCGGTTAGCGCTAACCATTAGCAGTATCTGGATACCGCTAACAGTTAGCAAGCGCTATCGGTTAGCAAGTTGGGCGTGTTTCTATCATTAACCAATCACACGTACGCGTTTACAATTTCCAGTTTCTTATTGGCCAGTGATTCAATCATCATATTTTTGGCATCCGGATCGGGATTTTCTCAGATGGACGCACGGCAGCTAACGGTTAGCTGGATCCGAATCCTGCTAAACATTTGCAGCCGTGTAAGAACATAGCCAGAGTGGGCTGACTTCCCCCACCCCTTGAATCTGCCCCTGACACGATATATTGCAGGAGCAAGTATACATCATCACTTTCTTGTTCTACTGATTCATCACTTAAATGAATCTACTTTACTCCTTCCTTTGATATTTGATTTTCTTCAGTCAATTTGCTTCATTCTCCACTACTTGTAGATTTATCTCCTTTATCATTTTTAACACCAACAAAACTAAACAAGAAAAATGAAATATGATATTTATTAGTTGCATACAGTACAGTAATAATGGTACAGTATATGTACATTATATTTTGTACTTTTAATTTTGGACCTTGTTTAAATGATATCTAATACAGTAAATAATATAACTTGTACTGTACCAAGGTGATAGGAGCTGAGAAACTGGGACTGACGGTGGTGAAATAAGCACTTGATTGGCTGTGACAGGATGAGCAGTTGGTATTTGAGGGCAGCACAGTTGAAATGAGAGCGAAGTTCCATTAATTTCAACATTCAGGTTTGTCAGAAAGTCATCTACTGCTGTCTTGGCTTTTTAGTTTGTACAGAGAAAACAACATAGGTTTAGTATAATTGTAAGGTAGAGTTGAATAAGAAAAATTATTCAAATTTAAAAACTTGGTATACCAATTTTAATTTGTGGTCTGTAATTTTTTTTATTCAAGAGCTAGATTGAATGTTTAGCCTACTTTTTTAAAATACACCTAGTACCTTGTTAAATTTCTTGATAATGGTAGTCTTCATGAATATTCATGATAGATCAGGGGCAGATTTAGGGGGGGGCCGGCCCGGCCCCGGCCCCCCCTTTTGGGAGGTAAAAAAAAGAAAAAAAAAAGATAAAAAAAGAGAGAAAAATAAAAAACTGATAGCCCAGAATGCCTCAAATGTTATGTTCGTGCGTCTAGAACACAAAAATTTCGCGGGGGCATGCCCCAGACCCCTACGACAGTGTTGTCTCAATCGGCCCAACTTTCGGCCCCCCCTTTTGGACATTTCTGGATCCGCCCCTGTAGATAATGTCAATGATTAACATGATTTAACTGCAAGTCATTTTATCAGTGTCAAATACAGTTGGCATTCCACAAAAAGAGGATATAATAATATAATTTTATTGACAGAGTATTACAGTATGACAATTAATTTTAATTTCTTGTCATTAAAATTGTTATATACTTGTTAAACTTCTAATATTCTTGTATATTGTACCTTTTGCAGCTTCTCGTCTTTCCTCATGTTCCTCAGCATGTCTTTTTTGGTTGGTTTTCTTCTGGCTATTATCACTGAGCCCTAAAAGTGTCTCTATGGTTACACCTTGTTGCACTGCTAACTTCCAATCAGATAGTGTCTCTATGCTTCCATGTTCCTACAAAGTGATGTAGCCAATAAAATAATCGTGTGAATGGTGTAAATGTATTTATTTATCGAACTACGAATATGAAATTATTCGCACAATATACCATGCGAATACCTGTAGTCTCTTCCAGTATTTACTGTGATGATTTTTATTTGCATACACTGTATAGGCCTAGTCTCTAGTTGTAATAATTTATTGATACAGTACTTGTTATTACTGATAGAGAATGATGAAATATACAAAACTTCATATCTCTGCTTACATGAATACAATATGATATATGCCCTAGTAAAATTATACCTCCATGCAGATTTTTTATTGGGCCATAGCATAGGTACTAAATCATCCAAACGAATGCTGGTCACTTCGGCCCAGCCGACACTTCGGACAAAACTAACATGGCCCAGATGACAAATGTAAACCCAAATTATACGTACAGAACTACCTACATGAATAGCAATCGCGATTACACATTATGACAATTTAATTCAATTGAAGTTGAATATTGAATACAATTACTAAATAAAAATTCACTTTAGTAATGATAATAATAAAATATTATTAAACATTTTATTTTTATTATTTTAGTATTATTATTGTAATTAATATTATTCTTAGGCCTAATATTATTTTTTCATTACCATATTACTATTCTTATATATTTTTATATTATCCAAATTATTACTATGGTAGGCCCATAATTATATTTTAGTAGAATCTTAACATACCTTTATAAAATACCGTAATGGGAATCATATAAAGCAAAATAACATACATGGATATTACGGATTTATTCAGGTACATTTACAGTAAGTCAAAACTGGCTACATCGAATGTCTTTTGTTTTCAATAAATCTAGCACTTTGGAACTGTTATTTCTGGTATATTTTTTGGTAAACTGTTTAATTTTAGATTGTCATCTGGGCCGAGTTGGTTTTGGGCCGAAATGACCTCCTACCAGGGGAGGATCCAGTAGAGGGAACGGGCGGGGGAACACGTTCCCGTGTGATTCGTGCCCCCCCCCCCACCTCTCCGGTTTTGCCACTAAATTTTAAAATTTCAAGGCAGCCTAGCCTAGGGCCTAGCTAGGCCTATAGGCTATATTGAAATCAGCGTTCTCACTTTTCTATTCTGAACATGTTGTGGGCCCGGCCCTTCCCCCCCCCCCCACCTTTTTGAAAAATTCTGGATCCTCCCCTGCCTACCATCCAAATCCAAACGATGAGCCCGATACGCACTCTCTGGCTTGCCTAATATAAACGGCCGGCCAAACACAAGGGCCCAGGCCTAGCCTAGACTTCTTGTGCAATCATTGCGGATCCATCGCTTGCAAACGTTAAAATGAAGTACTTCTGAGCTAATGTATTAAATAGGTACAGTATTCACCTCCATAGACTCAAAGCTTAGGTTTTTGTGGGATCCGGGGTGGAATGACAATTCCATTGGTCGGGCAAAACGCTTGAGTAGCACAGTGTTAGTGCGAGCAAGGTGCGCAGGCTCTTCTTCCCTCTACGCATGCGCTTGGTATTAGGTTCTGTAGATCGTGTTTTGCCGCGGACCGACCGTACCTATACCTTTTGAGATCTGAGGATGACGCTAAAGCCCCGGCGCACTTAGCGTTAATGTTAAACATTTTATCTCAAAATTGTATTCTTGTATGTTTAGTTTTAAGTCTGTTTATTTTGTTGAGATTGTCAATTTGAATGCACCAACCAGGGAGGGGTAATTTTTTTTAATTTTTACACCTCCCTCCTGCACCAACTTTGTGTATGCCACCGATCTTAAGGTGTTATTTTCCATATACATTGATTGATTGATTGATTGATTGATTGATGGGATGTTACAGAAACTTGTTGTTTAAACGCATCTCAACAAGGGTGACGCTGGCGTAGAGGGCGGCATGATATGTTGTGTTTCGGGCATTGCATAGTCAGATAAACATCGTTACATCTTTTTTATACCTCCATGGTTACATGAACACAACTTGAAAACAATAAAACAAAGTAGCGTATGTAATATTATTTACTGATTTAGTAGGTCATAGTGTATTTATTCAAATTTCTTTTAAAAAAATCAGCATAAAAGCTCATCATAGCAATTAAAAGTTGACATCAAAAAATAATTGTATTATAAATGATATAGAATAATATTAGCAAACGAATGCAGAAATCCCCCCCAGAAATTCTCTGAAAAGTTATTCTTCGACATAGGCCTTTACCAATATAAACCTGCCCCTTGGCAGTATACTGGCCTCGGCTGTTGGCAAGCTAGGCTTTACTACGTCGCCTGATGGAGATGAGCCAGGTGGTGCAGCATCCTGCAAAAGTAAATGTAAATGTACATAATAGGCCTAATAATAATAATAATAATAATAATAATAATAATAATAATAATAATAATAATAATAATAATAATAATAACAATAATGAAATAATAATAATAATATGTAATAATAATAATTATAATAATAATAATAATAATAATAATAATAATAATAATAATAATAATAATAACGTTATTTAATAAAGCGCAAACAATATCCATTTGAAATGTTCACAAACGCTGTACAGAATTTAAAAAATAGAAATTTACAAAAACAAATCAGTACTCAATATAGTAATATACATTAAAAGTTAAATAGAAAATCAGAACATTAAAAAGCATCACAATTTAACACATCAAAAACATACAGTAAAAAAATAACATACTAAAATTTTAAAAAGTTGATATTTAATAATAATATTAATTTAATAACGGTACTATTATTATTGTTACATTATAATTTTTAACATTTTTACTATTATTATTACATATTATTATTATTTTATTATTATTATTATTATTATTATTATTATTATTATTATTATTAGTATTATTATTGTTGTTGTTATTGTTGTTATTATTGATGTATTACCATCATCTTCATCATGTTATTATCATCATATTATTATAATCATTATCATTATCATCATCTTCATTTGAGCTTGAGAGCAGCTTAGCTTAGTCGGCTAATCTGGCGGTAGCCACTGTGTGCGCGCTGAACCGTGGAGATCTCTAAGTCCCCGGTTCAATTCCCATTGCTGCTCCTCATTGTGTTTCAGCTGGAAGGCTGAAATGCAAGTTACAATAGCGCACCGTCTTTCGGATGAGACGTTTAAGCTGTTGGTACCGTGTGCGTTATGGCCCATGTGCACCATGGGATTATTTGTGGGGGGTGGAAAAGTTAAAAAAAAAAAAATTGATCGCTCAAAATGCATCAGAGGTTGGAGTCTAGAAAAACAATTTTCGCGAGGGCATGCCCTTGACGCCCCCCCCCCCCGGGTTTTGTTTTCTCGCTTGGTCCCACTTTCGGCCTCTTTCGCCCTCCCCCTTCGGACATCTCTGGATCCGCCCCTGCAAGTTAAAGGACGTTGTACACTATTCGGAAAATGGGATTGTCACCCGGTGTACTGCTCAATCACCACCAGAAGGGCCTCACTGGAAATAAGTTACTTCAGACTTTCGTGGGTTATCCTTGGTGTTTGCAAAGAATAAATCCGATCCAATCAAATCATCCATTAAAAACAATTATTATTTAACTTATTATTTATTTATCTATAAATACCTACCGGAACGTTGTCTGTTTGATTGGTAGGGTTCGTCATTTTAATGGTTTGGCTAATTGTAGATAGTCTTCCATCACTCGGAACTTTTAGAGAGACAGAGCTTTCGGACTCGGTCAGCTGTAGATACAGATTATATTAGCATCATAGAATTATGTTTTATTTAATAATATTATTAGCTTGTTGATATAGTTACGTTCCCAGAAAACACAAAACGTTCTTATAACGTTCGCGGACGTTGTGGTTAGGTATGTCACAAAATAGCATTCACACAACGTTGTAACAACTTTCAAACGTTGTGACCTTGTGAAATTAGGTTATACGTTTATATTATGGTTCTACAAAAAAACGCTTGTAACGTTATTATAACGTTCTTATGGCGTACCAATTGTTAGATGGCTGACAATGAAGTCATTTGAAAACGCAGGCGTGTATCCATGATTTTTTCTGGGTGGATCGTGATCATAATTTTTTGGACATTTTCACAATGAAATAACAGCAAGATATGATTAAAATGAAGATTAAAATTGTAGGAATTGAGATAGATTACGTCACGCAATTGGCAAGGTATTTGGACTCATTGCTGGTACCTCATCAATGCTTTTTTATTCATGTCATTGTGAAAAGGCCCTAGAAAAAATGTCTGGAAAAAATGTGGACCTTTCAAAATTTTGTGGGGGGGGTGTCGTACGACCTTCCCGACCCCCCTCCCCTCAGCATACACCCATGAAACGTGACGTGGCGAATCATCAATTTGATGCTAGTTCCGTGCCGTGCGCCATTGTGTCGGCACGGCGCATTCCTTTCCTTAAGCCTTAAAGCATTAATGCCGTTGTGTCGACAGTGATGCGTCACATTGGATGCTTCAAATGGGCTTACGGAAAAAAAGAATGGTGTCGGCACTGCATCAGCCGTAGCTTTTAATATTGGTTTTAGTGTTGTGACTTACAGACACAAGAAATTTACAGAAACAAGAAATTATTTCAGCCCTACTCACGTATTTGGCTTTAGTGGCACTGAAAAGAGATGAAAAGTCTGATGGCGGTGGTGATGGGTTTTCTTCATCGTAATTATCAACATCATTTATAACACCAACCTGTTTTATGAAATGAAAGGTATTTTGAAAAACAATAGGGACGATATTTGAACCATTCATCAGGCTTAATTAATATGAATTCTGCATTAACAAATATTGAAAGAGATGAGTGATCTCTTACCGTGTTCGTCTTCAGGTGGAATGGAAAGTAACGGTTGTTGGCAGCAGGTCGAGTCAAGAGCAGGAACACCATGTGGCCATTGAAGATAGTGAACAATTCCATACCATTCACAATCTTAGCTCTGCAGGGATAAAGAATCAGAATACCCGTATATTAAAAAGGTTCTTTAATATGTCAACCTCTTTGATCTCTCAAGAATCTTGCGTATGAAAGAGCATATCTCACCTCTGCCATTTCGCAATGAATCCAGTGGACATCCAGATGGTGATGGGAGTAGCAAGGAACCAAGTTGTGAAGATGATGATGAATAGAATGTAGAACATAGCCTTACTATGATTGTGTTTGATGGTGAAGAAACACGCGTAGTACATCCAAAACAATCCTGAAATAAGTTACCGTATTGTAAATGACGGTTTTTACTTTAAAATCTCTGTTGATCAAATCTTTCAGAAATGCTATAACTTACGCCGAACAGCAGCCGGGCGGAGGCATGCAAACGCAATACGACGCGTTTTCAACGACAATTCGCTAACCAACTGTACTCTGACAATCAGCAGACGGGCGTCGTTTTTAATGCTCACGGATTGGCAATTTGTGCTCCGCTAACTTACCAATGACATGCATGATGACAATTCCAAGTCCGGCAAATGAGTCGTATTTGTTGACAACATCTCGTGGGTCGTACAGTACTTCTTGCAGGGCGTAAAGTCCAAAGTAGATGAAGAAGTAGCAGCATGTGAAAACGCCGATCTTAATGCTGGTAACTGACCTCAGACGGGCACTTCAACAACAAAATAATATTTAGATATTACAACACATTACATTAAACGGAATGAAAATTAAATTTCTCGCTTATAACACTTCATTCAAATTGGCTGGTAGTTAATAACGTTAAATGTCAGTATATTAGTGAAAATGACTAGTTTCATCAGTCTCATTGGAAGTTTTGACCCCTTAAATGACTTTAAAATAATGACAGACGGTACATTTTTTTAATTATGAGAAAATACAATTAGTGTGCAGTTTAAATGTTAAATGAAAGAGATAAAAGTACTGTACTTGCTAATGAAAATTTACAATTGTAGCTTATTTCTATAGTAAATTGTGCTCGCCTATAAGCTAAATGATTAATAACTCACCGAGTGACAGTGTATCCCTTAGCAACCAAGATGAGTAACAGTACAAAGAGGAGAGTCGACGTGGATGAAATCATTTCGCCTGGGTAAGAATTAAACACAAAATGTAGGAAAGTGACAATTTAGATAGTAGGCAAACATATACGGTATAATCATTGCTTGACAGATATAGACCTAATTAGATAATGCTTACCAAGTTTTCGTAGACGTTCGACACCAGTGCCATCGTACGCAAACATTCCATAAGCAATAGTCTGGAAAAGGAGGCTAATAGTCTGTAGGTAACATGAGTAACTGAAGAGCCGATAGGTGACGTTCAGCATTCGCTGCTCAATCATCAAGTCTAAAAATAAATTAGAAGTTTAATGTACAATATAACTAATAAACATGTATGAAAGAGAAATTCACTTGTTCTTAGCCATACAAATTACTTCAACTCACTTCTGAATTTTAGAAGGCATCCACAGATCATAAGGTAAATTCCGAGAAATACTATGTCCGTTTGAAGAATATCTATTATACATGTAAAGAAATATCATTTAGAATTGATAATATATAAATTAGATTGCTGTTTATTTTATAATTATTAAGATATATATTTATTTTGTGAATGTAATCCTTTCAACTATAAAATAAATAATAATTTATTAATTTACTGTACTTTAAGTTGAAAATGAGAAAACCTTTAAGGTAGAATGAAAAAAGTAGAACCCTGGCGTGTGTGCAAGAAGGGACCAAGGATAGTGATGCCAATGGGAACCGAATGATTTAATATCGGTGCCCTGATTACAGAGGTTATTAATCAGCAGATTTAGCGTGAAGTGGGGTTATAAGACTTACATCGTTCATCAGCTGAGAAATGGTTGTCGAATGCCGTCTTGCCATTAGTCATATTGATATTATACTTGAAGTTGGTAATTCCATCGCCGCCGCAATGAGCAATGGCGATGTACCACCAGCGTTCATCGATGACGTCAAAGTCACGTGTTCCATGGCAGTAAAACTCCTATAAGTTAAAATTCATATTTTTTTTAAATTTATTTATGTCTGTTTATGGTGATGCTGTAACGATGTGCTAATTGACAACTACTGTACTAAACAATTCAATTTTAATTATCTGAATAAAATTTACAAATTCAACTATGGGTTATTGTTCAAGTTCAATAATTACAGTATACGACAGTATAATGATATAATAATATTATAATAATATTTATTTGGCATCAAAAAGACATGTTACAGTATTGCCAGGAAAGAGAATGGGCATAAACCCGAACAAGAAAAACTTGCACTCTTATCCAACATCTTAACTACAAATTAACAGCTCAAATTAAAAACATCAAAGTAACAACAATAATAATTCAACAACAACAACAACAAAATTACCTTTAACCAATGTTTAATAGCTTGTCTTAATTATTGTTGCTTTCGCCTACCTCTTGTCCTGTGTCACTATTGATACGGATCACACAGTTCTGTGAGGTACTCAGGGTCACTTTTCCGTTGTAATAGCTAGGAATTAAATCTTTCCGCTGAAAGCAATTCTATCAAGAAAAATAAAGTATAATTACAAAGGTGTACAGGAAGTATAATATTTACAAAGGTGTACAGGAACAAGTTCTCGAGAACAAGTTGTGATTCTGGTATATTGGGTTGTGAGCTTTAAAATTTCGAAGTTTTAAAAAGTATATTTGTTTAAAAGCATTATTGACATTAGATATGGTAATAATGTACCTACCAATTGATCCTCATGTTTTCTCATATAAGGCCATTGTCCGGGTTCGTCGTTGAAAATGAGCATTTGATAGCAACATTCGGTCTAAGGTATCAAGCGAAAGAATAATATTGATGAACATGATAATAATAATAATAATAATAATAACAATAACAATAACAATAACAATAACAATAACAATAATAATAATAATAATAATGAGCATTTATACATCGCTCTTATGCTGCAGTCTCCCAGCGCTCTAAGACCAACAATCTATTGAAACAAGTGAGTTTGTGAGAAGTGATGTTAATTGTGTGAAGGACTTAGGCTGACGGCGGATGTGATGGAAGCCGATTCCAGATCAATGGTGCCAGTTTGCAAAGAAACCTTTTGGATCCGATTTTAGGTGGGTTTTTGGAATGGATAACGTTAATGGGTCCATTTCGGAACGAAGTCTTGGACGAGACGGAACATGAGTTGATATAATACTTTATAAATATGTGTAAGAGCAGAGCCTTGAATACGTTTATAGATTATGGTTGATATTTTGTAGATGATACGTTGTTGTATTTGAAATCAGTGAAGTTGAGTAAAAAGAGGTGAGACATGATCATATTTTCTCAAATTATGAACTAGCTTAGCCGCTCTGTTCTGCAAAAGCTGAAGACGTTTGATATCTTTGTTTTGATTAAATCAATCACAACTAACAAATTAATGTATTTATTTATTAATTCGGAAAAGTGTACCTTCCAAATAAATCACTTACTTAAAAATGGCGTAGAGGGCTCTTTCTATACTATAGCAAAAATCTTCAAGCTCGATAAGGCAAGCAAATACAAGTATTTGACATTTACCTTATTGGCAATTAAAAAAAATATACTAAAATATTATACAAAACACAATCTATCTTACCGCCGGGTATGTGAATGTATACGTCATTTTTCCATATTCGTCGGGTTGGAAGACAAAGCGAGTCAAAAATACAAAGTCCTGAAAAATAATCGTAGACACTTCAATCATATTAATTTTTTCCGCCATATGAATGTTATTATTAACACCATCATCAATATTATTATTAGTATTATTATAATTTATCTATTTTTATTTTATTTTATTTCATTATTTTTGTTATTGTTATGCTAGTGTTGATATAAAACAATGTTGAACTTCATGGTCGAAAATGTTTCCTCGTGATGAGTACAAAATGTTTAATTTGTGTAATATTATACCATCAATTTTATCAATCATATTTCTAGCCTTTACAATGAAACGGAAAATAAAAATGAAAATATCTGGGCACATCATTAACAGGACGAGCAACATAATGATGGCCACATTGTCAGTCAAGACTCATGGATGTTTGACAACAGGAAACCAAGACAGACAACACTACAATTTACACCGTTTTCCCTGAAAAAAAAAAGCGCAAAGAAGACTTCGTTCGAGTCCACAAGTAGAGAACAATTGCAACACTGTCAGTATGGTCTGGAAACTCTAAACTGCTGTAGATTCAACCAGGTGTCCGTCTGCAGTGCACTAATCATGATCAATAAGGAGGGCGGGTGTATTTCTTACCTTTCTTGTATTAATAACTCCGTCCAGATGTTTAGCAGTAGTCGTCGTCGTTAATGTCAGCAGAGTAAGTAACGCAAACACCAGAAGCAAAGTAAAGATCTTCATGTCTGCACTGATTTATTCTGGTGCTTACAGAAAAAAAAGTTCGGTTGAGTTGCAGTAACGATTTCCTGTGTGATACTGAGTGTAACTAAATTGGCGGGGAATCAAGTTTCTGATAAAAACATGCTCGTTGGGGGTACCTTCTTCCCCTGTGTGTTGACAAATAGCACGCGTTGCTAAGCAAGACCGAAGGTACGCGCACGCCGTGGATTCTTTTGCCAAAATCCGCTCCTTCGTTATTGTGCCGAAGGTCCCACGACAGGCAAGCGTACGAAAACAGTGCTGTGGTGGGGGGAGGGAGCGTCTTTTTTACTGTAATTCAGCAGGTATTATAGTTTACAAGCGTAAAATAAATTCTCAAATAGTACTATTAGATATCCATTTCATATAGACATACCTTTTCATCAAAATAACCTTAATTAAACTGTAGGCCTAATAAGCTACGTCTCCGGAATTTTTTTTTTATTGGTAAAGCACTACCCAAGGTACGGTAAGTAGATAGGGCGCCCTCTACATAACGAACAATCACTTCATCAGAAAAAAGAAAACACCGGATACACTACACATGGCCCTACATGTTGATAGAATAGAAGCATGTGTCGTTAATTATAGTTAAAATGCTGGGAAGGCTTTTAAAGGTGGCTTCTACGGCATCATTTGATATTAGCAAAAGTGTATTACGAAATACAATTCGGGTAAGCGCTTTTTTGATAAGTATATTTTAAGCAAGGCCCCTACCGTTAGGCCTAGGCTAGGCCTGAATCGTTGATCACCATCATACATCTCTCTCCTCACTTACTTGCCTCGATTCCTCCTCTCAGTACGCTTGTCGTCTGATCCCGGTTAGTCACTAGCCTAGGCCAAGATGGGTAATTTGTTTTTTGTTTTTTATATTTACTTACAGACAGTCTCATCAAATCCTATCTGCCGACAGAAACTTGACACAGATACAACAGGAACAAACTCATTACGTAGGTTTAAATAATTGCATTATAATTTAGGCAGTGGCTATCTAAGGCTACACCATTCTGATTGAATTTATCAGTGTGTATTAATAATTATTGTCAATCATATTATATTTAAATAAAACCTGCCATTATATTTAGATAAAACCTGCCACTTAAAATAATTGTGACCATGTATTTACACCAAACAATGGAATAGGCCTAGTCAGTTTGAATAGTTATACATATGAGACATCATTTCTTTTTTCTATTAAAAATTTACTTTTTTGTGCAAAATCAGCTCTGTCTGTAAGAGAACCAATAATAACATCTCGAGATGTTCCAAGGGTACCATTCATGGAAACACCTCAGGCATGGCTTGAGACGCTCGGTAGCATTCAAGATTCTAAGCTAGGATTAATTGATCTGCATCCCGATGTATTTGCAGCAAGTCCACGGTACGTGAAAATAAAAAATGATAAACTACTTTGTGATTTGTGGTGATCACTACGATATATATCATTAATTCTGTTTTTTTTTTTAAATCATAGGCATATACACATTTGTCAGTAATGACATTGTTTTCACATTTTATATATCTAAATGTTTTTAATAATGTAAATTTGGCGCAATTGAGTTTATTCTGCAATGCCATTTTATTTTTGAATAAACCAGATTTGATTGATTGACATTTTATTTTAGACTTGATATTCTTCATCAAAATGTGAGATGGCAACAGGCATATAAAAGAATAGTAAGTTTAATTTCATTTACTTAATTTGTTATAATTATGGAATTTTTTTTTCTATAAAGACACATTGTAATATAACAAAGAAATTATAGAGTGCTATTGAAATTTAAGTGGTTATCTTTTATTTGAAAATGAAAACAAATTATTATTTTAACATATGGGCAGTATCAACAGTTTTTATGTACCTCATCTTCATTATACAGAGTTTTGCAAAAACGAAAACAAGGGCTGAGAAACGTGGTGGTGGGAGAAAACCATGGCGACAAAAAGGAAGTGGAAGAGCTCGTCATGGTAGCATCAGGTCCCCACTTTGGAAAGGAGGTATTTACAATATAGAAATATGAATTTATACTGTTTATAATGTTTTGTTAATGGAGAAATTAAAGTTGGGAAGTTTGTTTTTTTTTTTTTGTGAATACTGGTTATGTGGCTTGGGATGGGAAACTACAGTATGAATACTATTGATAATGTTATCGATGGTTGCTGCTTCTAAACATTAGAACTTATTTGCCGATCTTTGAGTCTATACAGTATGTCTTTCTGTTTAATACGGGTGGTAAAAATCACCTCTTCTCACTAAATATCTGTAACGTGGTTTTTTATAATTGTCTTTTGTGTGGAATGTTTCAATTCCAGGTGGAAAAGCACATGGACCGCGTGGACCACGGAGCTACTGGTACTTCCTTCCAACAGAAACACGTGCAACAGGAATGCGTATCATGTTATCTATCAAACATGCACAGGACGATCTACACATCGTTGACTCCTTAGAACTGCCCTCTTCTGACCCAGAGGTAATATTACGGCTTCTTGTCACCAAAAATGTATGGCTTTGTTGTTTTTCCTATCGAGTCTATTCACAAGCTCTTACTTTGTAGAGCCATGTCAATTTAGGTCTAAAAACTCGATATTAGGATTCTTGTGTATAGTGGTGAAAGGATTGGTAGTAACAGGGCTGCAATGTGAATGCCTTTCTTGACCCCTGCTTTAATGTTTATCTCAAGAATGTTGTTTGTTTATTATTTATTTATCTATATTTGGGGTTTACAAATATGTTTGATAGTATGAACACAGAATTAGGCTACTGTATGCTTTGGAATATGTTTCATACTGTACATATTCATGCCACGGAAGGTGAATGATATACATTGGGAATATAGAATATTATGGTTATTATACCTTATGAAAGTTCAAAGATCCTTTTTGAAAAGGAGCTATCTAATTTCTTGTCTTTTATTTTCAGTATTTGATTGACATTGCAAAAGAACGATGCTGGGGTTCATCCATTCTTTTTGTGGACAGGTATATATGTGCTGTCTTCGATATGTGGCAAAGACAAGCCAAACTAGTCACTCGTTGCAAATCATGTTTCAGAGATAATGGCCAAAACATGCTGGAATGTCAATATTTTTAAAATCTATTTTATTGCACTTAACTAACCTTTTTATATCTATACTGTAACCACACTATGCTGTTGTTTTCCCCCATTTTCAATGTTAAAAGACAAATTTTTAACAATTTGGTGATGGTTTCTGCCTGAGCAATTCCCGAAGGCTGATTTTGCACAAATTTTTTCTTTAAACAGCTGTATGTTTAAACGCTTGTAACTTCATAAGGAAGATACAATAAGATAAGATTTATTTCATCTTCATATATACAAAATACATATGAAATTTGCCTTTCTGAGTTGTAAAACAATGATATAACACACACAAAATCATTAACAACTTTGCACTTTCCAAAATATCAGATTTAAATTATTCTTTTACCATTTTATAGCTCTTGTACTGTTTAACCCTGTATTAATAAATAAAACTTGATTTTTTGCGATAAGTGACTTGTTTGGCATGTCCTCGCCACATGTGTTTATTATGATGATGATGACACTGACGTCAAGAAAAACATTGACAATATACATTGAATATTTAGATGAGTTGATTGGCCGAGCGGTTAAGTCAGGGGCACCGTTACCTTTAGCTCTAATATCGGCGTTGGTTCGAACGGCTCACTCGCCAATGGTTTCGGTGGTGGAACAAGTCTTCTCGGATAAGGACTTTAAACCGTAGGCCCAGTGTACGCATTTGGCTTGTGTGCACTTTAAAGAACCCGGTACATCATTCGAGAAGAGTAGGGGCTTACCCCGGTGTACTGGTCCATTAAGTCCCCTGTTGTTAAATGGATATGCCACGTAGGACAGTGATTAAGTTCACTTATTGGCATATCCTTGGCCCTCGTGCCTAAAGAAATTAAATGAAATGAAATATTGTATATTGAAAACAGTATAAGATTATCATTATTGCTATAATCAACATCATTATCAACGTTATACCATCAACATCTTTATCATCAATATTTTATTATTATAAACATCATTATCATCATCATCATCATTAATATCATCATCATCATCTTCATACCTGGTACCTTAATTATCATTATGCTAATGGTTTACATTGTGCTATAAAAATAAAAAATCTTATTTAATTAATATTTTCATTATCTTTCCTATGATGTTGATTATTTTATTCGACATAAATGTTGTTGTCATTTACTTTTTCTTTTACAGAAAACTCTTGGAAGATTTACCAGAGAATTTTATAAATGCAGTGAATTGTGTAAAGACGTATAATGTTATGACAATGGAAGGCAAGTTAAAATTTATCAGAATATATATGGAATTCATGTATCTTTATTTTTATTATTACTACAGCATAGTCATATAATATAGTGAGAAAAATAATTGATTCTTGAAAATTTATCTACTAGTGTGTTCTAAGGAGTTTGCAGACCCCAGATCCAAAACAATACAGATAAAAAAACAACGATAATAAAATTGATTCTAACTTGCCTAAATGAATGAGTTAGTACATTATAATACTTTATATAGCGCTTAATGTCAGCAACGCTTCTCAGCGCTTCACATTATTGATAATTTATGGTATTATGTTAATAATTTGCATGTTTTTTATTCAGGTTTAAATGTTTACAGCATGTTGAAACATCAAACACTGGTGCTAACATTAGATGTTGTGGATGTGCTTGAGGAACAGCTCTGCTATCACCAAAATTGCTTTAAAAGCAAACAGCAACAACAGTTCAAGTCCATCATACAATCTCAATTACAAGATCGATATTGAGGCTGCTATTGCTACATGTCTGTGATGTCATAGAAAAGTTAGCTAAATATTTACATACTGACTTACTTCATAACTTTGTTGTTCTCACAAAGAGAACTACTTGTTGAACTACTGTATTAGTGGTCTAATATACTTTCTGGAAAACAGTGTTATTTGCAAATGGTTTATCATGGTAAACTTTACCGACTACATTTCTTTTAGATTAAACATTTTCTTGTTAATAAGTACATTATAATTATTTTTAAAAAAACAACATCAACCTAGTACCATACTGTACATACCATTTTCTTTATTTAATTCTGTTAATTATAATTCAAACCTAGAGAAACGTTTTTCCATCAACAGTGGTAGAGTGAACCTTTCAAGGGTGTTAATCAAACTTAACTGACCAATCAGAAGAGGGCCAGTATACGCGCGTGTCCTATAACACGCGGTTATCCCACAAACGCAGTCTGTGCGTGTGTGCGAATGCTTTTACATTATCGTTGTGGGACCTTGGCAACAATATAAAAGGGGTGGGGTTTAGTGGAAATGGCCATTATTAAGTTTGCCAACATGTAATCACAAAATCCTTAGTAACCGGATTCTTGTAGACGTACATCTCTCATTACGACGCACACCTTACGAACGCACAAAGAATGGCGTAAAGGTGCCAGGTTCTGATTCTGGAAACTAATAGAAAGACAAAAACTTATTAGGCGTAGTACGTGCATAGAGTGACATCGATAATTAAAATCTCATTATTTCAATAAGTTGTTTGTATAATAATGGCAAGAATAATAATAATGGCAAATAATAATAGTAAGAAAAAGAAAAAGCAGGAGATAAGAAGAATGATAATGACGATGATTGTGATACTAATTAAATATAATTATAATATAATATGTATCCATATATGCTAATAATAATTGTAATAAATGATAGATAGATAATATATAAAAGATAATTTATAATAGACAATATATAGGTAATAGGCAACATGCAATTATACAATGTGCAATAGGTAATGTATAATAAATAGATAATCGAAAACAGACAATGGGCTACGTAGTAGATGATATATAATTGATAATATATAGTTAATAATATAGATAATAGGCAATAGGTAATTAGGAATGCAAAAAAAAAAATAACAGGCAATAGGCAACATTAGGCAAAGGTAATAGTAAATATTAGGTATACCTATACATATAAATTATTGATAGTCGAACATTCAATAGAAAAAAAATGGAAATATTTCACCTAGTTGTTTTCCTATGATTCTTAACTAATGGTGCCCAGGATCATGAAAATACCGCCGATATTTGATTTAAACTTTTTCAACATCATTTTCTTAGCATTTAAATGTTTGAACTTTCCCAGATTCTGTCTCATGGGCAGACTTGAGTATAATCTGATTTAACATTATTTAAGTTTAAAAGTAGGTCTGAAGTGGCATTTGTCAACTTGCAGAGCATTGTTGTGATCCGTGAGTCCCAATCAAACACAAAAACAAAAAAAAGATAAAAAAACGGAAATGACGGGGTCAAAACATTCTCCCTAAAAAATCTTGAGCTATACACTTTATGTTTTTGCGAAAATTGACCCATTTTGTCCTATTGGTTTTCCTGTTGATTCTTACCTAAATACCGATTATTTTTTATTTAAACTTGTTCAACATCATTTTCTTAGCGTTTAAATGTCTGAAATTTCCAAGATTCGGACTCACGGACTATGTATCATCTGAATTAACATTATTTAAGCTTAAAAGTAGGTCTGAAGTGACATTTGTCAACTTGCAGAGTATTATTGTGATCAGTAGGCTCCATTAGAATATAAATCTTATCAATTATATGGTTCACCACTATTTACATGAGTCAAGGCTTCAAGATCCTCTCTTTATGTTAAATTATTTTCATATTTTAATGTTTTATGTACTGAACATGGTTTTCAAAATAAAAGTTAATATTATAATAGATAATAGATAATAGTACTGTGGGTTAGAACAAAGAACAAGTTTCTATACCCGAAGGTCTGCCTAGACTTAAATAAATAATATTTTAAGATTTTACATTTTGAACTAATCCTCCAGTCGATCTACTTACTGGTTTTGTAAACTCGTCTACGCAAGCCATTCGAATGACTTCAGCGGTCGCAGGACTGTCCAGGCGAAAGATCCCATCAACACCTGCATCCGATCTGGCCGAAGCAATTGCATCTTTGATTGCATAAAACACAGATGATGCTAAGAACAGAGGCGGCTCCCCTATTGCCTACACAACACAAATATACTTGAACATAATATATTATAATATAACATAGCCTCAATGGCCCAGTTTGTTATGGCGTCTGCATAAACCGCAGAAGGTCCCAGGTTCGAATCTCGGTTGGGGCACCTATTTTTTCACACTAGCAGATTCCTCCTCTTTAACGTTCAAAAAGTATTTATATATATTTATGTATAGGCCTACTATGTGTTGTGAAATAAAAGCATTCAAATTTCTAATAAAACCGTTAGTCCCTTATTCAATGATATAAAATAATTACTATATGCTTAGCTAAATATGTAAAGTAGCTTTTAAAATCAGAATATTTAGTATTCATTTTATACAGACTTTAAATAATAATAATAATAATAATAATAATAATAATAATAATAATAATAATAATAATAAATATAATTTATCTATTTACCTTGGATGAGCATACGGCGCTGTCATTTGGAACTCCTGCCAGAAGACTTACATTGAACTCGACTGGGATGTCAGAGAATCCGGGTATCTTGTAAAATCCGGGACCTTTTGTAAGGAGCCTACCAGAAGGGCTCCATCTGTGCTCTTCAAGAGTGAACAAACCATACCCTTGGATGAAGGCTCCTTCAATCTATTGTCGAAATGATTATAATAATAATAATAATAATAATAATAATAATAATAATAATAATAATAATGATAATAATAATAGTTAGTTTTTATACTTTTTGCTACGATAATTTAAATGGTTTGAAAGACAACGGCTGAAGTTACAACATGACCAATAATTAAAAATTTAATAACGGTTTAACTATTTAATGTTTTATTATTTGAATTATTATTATTAGTTCAGCACCACAAACAGTATGTATAAGTTCTACTGTTTTCTCTACTCTCTCCGTTCCACGCGCCTCAGGATATTGGTTAAGTAACAATTATTGTTGTGTCTTCTTAATAATGTGACCATGATAATAATAATAATAATAATAATAATAATAATAATAATAATACGAAAACGAATACGTCATTATCATTCTCGTCATTCGTGCCTAAAACATTCTTGAACATATGCTGTACAAGCAGAATATGAAAACTGATTCATGCAAAAGGCATTTATCACTTACGTTGTGGCAGATATTCTCTGTAGGGGAAGGGCGGTTTAAACATTTTATGTCGTAGACCGTTTTCGTTATCGTTTTCGAAAACCTGCGAAAACTGCCTACTATAAACAATTATATCATTTTATCATTTATAAATATAATTTGACAAAGAATAATTGAAGAATAACGAGGACTAAATTGAGTGGACAAAGAATGAATTTTAAAATAATATCAACAAAAAATATACCCTGCAATACGATATCACGTTACCTGTCCAATATCTATGGCAGGATTAAGACTATCGCCGACATCCATTACTATATCAGTCCTGAGAACCTGATGATCACCCGTAAGACAGTCAATTTCAACCTCCGATACGCCAACACCGTACGTATAATAGTAGTATGCCTGCCCTTTGTTGTTTCCAAAGTCGTAATTTGCTTTGGTGTTTCTGATGTTAACAATAAATAATAAACACTAATTGAATATAATGATGATGAAATAACAGTAATATTAAATAATGATCTAATTTTAGTTGGTCTTTATAAACTAAACTCAATCAATGACCAATTATTATTAAAATGTTAAAAAGTAAAAAAACACCAAATTCTTCAGATAAAATAATTTAATTTATTAAGTACTTACTCATAATAACCAGTGGAAGATAAACTTACTCCCTTCTTATACGCTGAGATTACCTACATGATAAGAAACGATCGTGGAATATTAATTATTATATAACAACAATAATGTTATCATTCATATTATGATAACAACAGAACCAACAAAGGCATCAACATAAAACACCAACATCAGTGACAACACCAGTTGATGGAACCGCAGCAACAGCATCAACATAAAGACCGGAACCATTACTACGAACAAAAACAATCCGGTCTCACCCAATCTTCCCATGTTCCTTTCGGGTTGTCTTTCTTGAATGGTACCAAACGTTCCCGAATGGCCCTGCAAGCATTCTAAATAGAACAGAATAATATGTCAACACACAGAAATTAACAATAAGATATTGCATATTAATGAATAATAACAAAAATTAATTTACATTATAATTTTTAATATATTAGAAGAATTTTCTCAACCATTACTTCTTTCTGTGTTTTCTAAATTATAAAATTGTATTCTATAAAAAAAAGTTATTCAGGTAGAAAATGTCTTCAATAGGCCATGATAATACAGAATGAAGATAATGAATGGAGATGCCCCTTCTCTTTCCCCATATGTAGCAGCATTTGTAACAAGTGGAGAAAAAGTCTTACCCTGACTGCCATTCCATTGAGGTCAGACGACGTACTAGCAGCCGATGGTGACGTGTTCGGGACGGTATTCGTTGAAGTTTCGCTGATGTGGATCTTATCGATGGATATACCGAGTTCTCGGCTGGCAACCTGGGTCATCTTCGTGTGCAACCCTTGACCCATCTCCACACCACCATGTGTCAGCAGAACAGAGCCATCAGTATACACCATTACCAGTGCCCCCGCCTGACAACAGAAACGAACACAAATTGTATTACTGTACAATTAAATAACTGAAAAGTAGTGTTTTTGCATACATAATCGGGAAGTAAGGATTGTTCGTTTTATATTCAAAGTATGATTATTGATTAGCAGAATCATATAGATTATAATTATTCTACTATTACCTGGTTTAGGAATCTTGCCTCAAATCCTATACCAAATTTAGTCGGGATAATGTATAAACCACGCTTCTTCCACCGGTTCAACCTTAAAATAAAGTATAGCGCTTTGTGTTGTAATATGACACCTGTACATCACTAGCTTGCTGCAACGATTCCACAACATTATCAAATTGATTTGGCATTTTATTAATTACGTATGTATTATTTCTAATTGTTTTATAAATTTAAATTTAAAAACATATGTTTTATATAGATATATAAACATATTAGATTTGTATCAAAAGTTATAACATATGATATATATATACATATATATATATATATACATATACATATATATATATATATATATATATATATATAATTATACATCATGAACATTATACATTTCCATTGAAGATTTAATATTCCATGTTACGGTACCTGTTAAATTCCACCACTTTCTGTTTTCTATGTTCGTAGTTACTCTTTTGAACGCACTCGTCCCAGCATCTTCTTAGCGTTATATTCTCTACCTTCTGCATATAGTGGGTATAGTCACCTTCCTCGTACATATTTATCTCACGTACCTGAAAAATGTTGTGTATATTGTTTAGTTATATTAGTGATGATACTAATCATAATCATTTGAATCACCATTACATTACAATCCCCTTGCTATCACCATCTTTATCCTTATTCTCATAATCATTTGGTCGCTTTCTGTGCTTGGATCTTATTCAAAATTTATACAAGCAAAGACCATGAAAATGTGCATATTTAAAATGAGATCATTATACATTAATACTGTATTAATAAACGGGTAATAACATTCTTATATCAACACAATTTGAGTTTTCTAAAGCGTTTAAAACTATTGCACAGCTATGTTAAACGAAAAATTACCGTGAAAACAATGTTTGCCCTCTATGAAATTATTATTATTATTATTATTATTATTAGTAAAACTCCACCGAGCACCTCAGCTCGGGTTCTATGGCAGAATGGTTGGAACTTTCCTCATCACCCCATTACAACTACAATTGCGGCTCTAGTAATCTCACTCTAGCTAGTTCCAATGATTTCTTTATGATTACTTTATGTTTTTCACTTATTATTTATTTTATAAATTTTTAAACAATATCTTGACTTTATTATTTTAAATGCAGTTCTCATTATAACGAGGAGTCATAAGCTCTGTTTTACAACACACATAGTAAGGTTAGTTTTATACTATTTATATTATTTTTATCGATGTGATCATCATCAAATCCATCATCATCATTATTATTATTATCAATTTTATTGTTTGTTTATTTTTATTTTATTCATTTCATTATTAACGTAAAACAAATTAATTCCAACTTATTTTTTAATAATGCAATTCACTCTTCAATAAGATTTTTTTAGATGATTATCATATTCAGTGATGTATTAGCTTCACATTTTTACAGAAATCGATGCATTTTTATTATTTGCATAAATTCACATAGGCCTAGGCTTATTGCTCTAATAGCCTGTAAAATTCTAAATAAAAGTTATGCATAGAACAGGCATGGCATGCTGTTCATGAGAAAAATGATGCATGTTCCGTATATTTATTTATTATATAATTATATATAATAATATCTACCTTTTCATGTGATATTTTGAGAAATGTAGCTACGTCATTTACAATGTTCTCCATAAGCATCATACTCTGCGGCGCGCCGAACCCCCTGAATGCTGTATTTGAGGGGATGTTGGTTCTGCACATATAGCCTGTAATCTTTCTGTTCGGAATGTTGTAACAGCAATCCGCATGGCTAAGCGATTTAAACATGACCTAAAGAGAACAACGTTTTTAAATTGTTTTACATTTTAGTTAACTAACATTATAAAATTCCTTAAGGCTCAGAGATCTTAATCACGGATCGTGTGTGGATTATTTATTATACCAAAGAAAACCAAATTAAATGATATTACAAAAAATGTAAAGTAGCAAGTGGTAGTCGTGTGCTGGTTTAATTGGACTTTTAGACTCTGAATCTATAGTGGGCCTCTCCTCCAGACAGTGACAAATATTGGTACAATATATATGGTATAACAACATAACTACATTCATTTATAATTTTTAAGTAATTTTAATTTAATTCATTATCACACCCTCTCCAAGCGGCTTTCTCAACAATAACATTGCCGGCAAATTATTCAAATAGTTCATCCAAACCTAACTTGTTTAATTTCAGATTGAAAAAAAAATACACTCACTGAAAATGTTAAATCCACACTGTTCCCTCCATTTGAATACAGATTCAACTTCAGAGCAGATATTCTACCATCGTTTGAGAAGCCAACTTTGTACCGACCTAGGTATGCGTGCCGTGTTCCTGTAGAACCCATGTCCTCATCTCGATCAAGTACACATCGTATTGGTCTATTCAGTCTGTAACAGAATAATCACAAATGAGGGTATAGTATTTTGCTTTAGCAACGTGAAAATATACAAACGTGATGATAAAGATAAATTAATACTAACTTGACAACTTTTGTTAGTCCGTAAAACGTTGTCTATCCTGTCATTACCATTGTATTTTGAAAACATAGACACTAGGGGTAGGCATTGCTTACGTTGAAACAAATATGCTTGGGTTTTAGTCAATGGGTGAATACATCATAAACTAAGTCGACTTCAATTCCCAAGCTAACATTAATTTGTTATACAGTAGATGAACTATCAACAATCAGCTTTGCACATATTGTTTTATTGATCATTGTATATTCGATCCATTTTTATTCATCTTTCCATTAATTTGTATATAATAAATCATATGACGTCATTATAATGTGAACGCGATGTTGCTTTATTACACTTTTATAGCACTTACTTATGCGATGCAACGGCCGCTCTAGCAGCTAAAAGACCTGCTTTTGTTTCTTTACCGCCAAATCCTCCCCCAACTCGTTTCACTTTCACAACTACTCTATTTGATGGAACTCCAAGAACTCTGGATACATCATGCTAATTAGACAAAAAAAAAACAGAATGTCAGTGTTATTACCATACAATACCTTCTAAAAACTGATCAACTTCCTACACAGATTTAAATAATTAAGTGTGCTATTTTATATACATTTTATTACAAAAATCCTTAAAATTGCAGTCAATGAACTTAATATTCTTTGCAAGATATATGCCATTAAAGTAATATTTTGCATCTGTTCTTTCTTTTCTCGTTCTAGTTTCAATTTAAATAATGAAATTATGGACTTTTCCGATAAACCCCACTCCTTGGATGTTGTTGCTAAGGTCCCAAAAAACAACAGTGTTGACACATACGCGAACACGTGCGTTTGTGGACGTGGAACAGCACTCGTGCTTGTTAGACACGCACGTTTTTCTGGCTCTGTTCTGATTGGTCAGTTATTAAGTATAATTTATACTCCGGAAAGGTCGATTGTGTTATTTATTAGCTTAACGAAGACATTACATTTTTAAACAGTACCTGAACATCACTCGGGCTTTGGGTAGCCGAATACACTTCCATTTCTCCTTTCTCACCCTTCGGTATGACAATGCAGCTGTTGGTTTCTAAATAAAAATGTTCTTGTTCTCCAACTCGCATCTCGCCTTCCAAAATATGCTCTGATTTGCTGAAACCTTCTTCAATGTCACCATTTTGAAAAATCTTTGGTTCGCCTAAGTACGATTGTCTATTTATGGCTTGCTGGAATGAAATTAAATGACAACCGCATTATAAGATTCGTTTTTAATTCAATTCAATTCAATTTATTGACGCTCCAAAAGTAATCAAGGGCAATTATCCGGCCGCATAAACAACGACAATATTTCTTTTCATTCATAGTACTTATCCTGAGTTTCGTAGATAGGCAATTATTTACCTGGATTGTGACTATCGTCTCCAGATCCTCATATTCTATTTTGACCAGTTTTGCTGCTCGTTGCGCGGTCTCCCGATCTTTAGCAACTATACCACCAATTGCCTGACCACAACACGTCACCTGCAAACGTGTTTGAACGTGTTTAATTAGGATGCTAAGTAAATTGTGTTAACTGTCATTCATTAAAATAAAACGTCAACAAGTTAAACGCATTCATTAAAATCTCATCCCCTGCTGTGTTAACTTTAATACGAATTCAATGTTTTAATTTTACCTCTTTCTTTGTGAAAACTTCTTCATCTCTGACAATGACACCAATCAAGTTGTTGCCAGGTACGTCTTTATGATCAATATAAGCATGCACGCCATCTAGGGCCAGCACCTGTCTCTTATACACATCTAGATGTGTATAAGAGACAGGGCTATCGGTGACGTTGATTGGTCAGAAATCGGAAGCTTTCCCGATTGCGTTTGTGATTGCCGTGCAGTGAAACACTTTAGTGACGGTTTGCCGATTTTATGTAAACCATGTTCATGGTGTAGGATACAAGTTGCCTCACCTGTGCCAAGTGATTTTTAACTGTCATGTAGAACTTGAAGAAGAAACTTAAAGTGAGTGATTGTCTATATTCCACCATTCCACCAGGTGCGCCGGGAGGAAGAGACATCTCATCAGCAAGGCAGGTGCAAACATCCTCCAATAGCGACTGGTTCCAAGCCTGTCTCTTATACACATCTAGATGTGTATAAGAGACAGATCCTCCCCCAACTCGTTTCACTTTCACAACTACTCTATTTGATGGAACTCCAAGAACTCTGGATACATCATGCTAATTAGACCAAAAAAAAAAACAGAATGTCAGTGTTATTACCATACAATACCTTCTAAAAACTGATCAACTTCCTACACAGATTTAAATAATTAAGTGTGCTATTTTATATACATTTTATTACAAAAATCCTTAAAATTGCAGTCAATCAACTTAATATTCTTTGCAAGATATATGCCATTAAAGTAATATTTTGCATCTGTTCTTTCTTTTCTCGTTCTAGTTTCAATTTAAATAATGAAATTATGGACTTTTCCGATAAACCCCACTCCTTGGATATTGTTGCTAAGGTCCCAAAAAACAACAGTGTTGACACATACGGTACGCGAACACGTGCGTTTGTGGACGTGGAACAGCACTCGGGCTTGTTAGACAAGCACGTTTTTCTGGCTCTGTTCTGATTGGTCAGTTATTAAGTTTAATTTATACTCCGGAAAGGTCGATTGTGTTATTTATTAGCTTAACGAAGACATTACATTTTTAAACAGTACCTGAACATCACTCGGGCTTTGAGTAGCCGAATACACTTCCATTTCTCCTTTCTCACCCTTCGGTATGACAATGCAGCTGTTGGTTTCTAAATAAAAATGTTCTTGTTCTCCAACTCGCATCTCGCCTTCCAAAATATGCTCTGATTTTCTGAAACCTTCTTCAATGTCACCATTTTGAAAAATCTTTGGTTCGCCTAAGTATGATTGTCTATTTATGGCTTGCTGGAATGAAAATTAAATGACAACCGCATTATAAGATTCGCTTTTAATTCAATTCAATTCAATTTATTGACGCTCCAAAAGTAATCAAGGGCAATTACCCGCATAAACAACGACAATATTTTTTTTCATTCATAGTACTTATCCTGAGTATCGTAGATAGGCAATTATTTACCTGGATTGTGACTATCGTCTCCAGATCCTCATATTCTATTTTGACCAGTTTTGCTGCTCGTTGCGCGGTCTTCCGATCTTTAGCAACTATACCACCAATTGCCTGACCACAACACGTCACCTGCAAACATTTTGAACGTGTTTAATTAGGATGCTAAGTAAATTGTGTTGACTGTCATTCATTAAAATAAAACGTCAACAAGTTAAACGCATTCATTAAAATCTTATCGCCTGCTGTGTTAACTTTAATGCGAATTAAATGTTTTAATTTTACCTCTTTCTTTGTGAAAACTTCTTCATCTCTGACAATGACACCAATCAAGTTGTTGCCAGGTACGTCTTTATGATCAATATAAGCATGCACGCCATCTAGGGCCAGAGCTTTTGAAAAATCGACAGATCTGAACAATAAAATACAATTAGTTACCTATAGAATTGAACTTAGGCAATAAAAATGTTTATTTATGCAGCAGAGAAGAGGAATCGTCAAAACTTTATAAAGTTTCTCTACCTGAAACCCGAATTCAAACCCGATTAATTGATTTCACACTCATTTGCAGATGCGCGGTACTATTTCTCGACTGCGAACAACGGCAATAAATGACATGACTTCATTTTAAGCATTTTGAACGACAAGACAGGATGTCCTAAGAGATAATTTTACATTTATTATACAGTACATGTTATAGAAGGGAACTTCTTTCATTATCGCAGATTATTCATATTTAATGTTCACAATTTTTGGAAAACCCCTAATTGAGATAGGCCTATATAAAAGCTATTTAAAAAACTCTTCATTTACAAGTATACACA